CGCATCTCCATTAAGGTGAGTTTTAAAATTATATAAGAGTTTTAAAATTATATAAATAGTAAAGACGACCATCTTGGAGCAACAATACGCTACACTATATTATGTACTTATCCTTACTTTAAACAAACTTTGTTTCGTGTAACATTGACAAACGACAAAATATCTGTAACTTTAGTAACCATTGGACAGTATGGCAAAACAATTTGTTACTGAAACCATGAAAAATGTTATCTAGAACGTTTAAAGCGACTTTATGGTAGAAAACTGAAAATGTATAGCAGCGAAATAAATCCACGCTCGCTCGGTGACAAAATAAACTTTTTCGGGGAAATAAGATTTACGGATATGCAAAAGTATTTCAACGTCGCACTTTTAGGGCATGAATGTTTTAGGTTCTTGACATCTCATTTATTACTTTTTAACAGAGTTCTATAAAAGGGAATTAACTATATTCGACGCGTATGTTTTTATGTGAACGCATATGTTTATATGTATTACGATTATGTTAACCAATTTCTCAAAAAAAAAAAAAAAAAAAACATGCACCCGACCTTTTTTTTAAATATCACTTCTTTGGGATTACGAATTCAGAATCTCATCGCATCACTTGTGAAAATTTCGTAAGTATAATGTGTTATGAAAGTGGTTGAAGATTCGCCTTCAAATGATTATTCGTACTCGTACCTCGTAAAATTCGTACTTCAAAAATCTATTCATAATTTATCATTTTGAAGTCGCATATTTACACCTCTCTTTTTTAACAATTCTTTGTGTAATTAAGGTGACTGGAAGAAACAGCTTTCTAAAATCGCCTAGTGACGCTTCTTTAAACATTTCATTTCGTTGATATTCTAATATGTGTTGATAATCTGTGAGAGAGGCCTATGTTCAACAATGGATTTTTGACAGGCTGTAAAGGTAAGATTAAGATGTGTTGGGGTACCATATAAAATACATTGATTCATTCATTAATTTTATTCACCGCAAGGATAGAATAAAGAGCCGTGGTAGCTCAGTGGTTAACGCTCGCTGTAAATATAACAGAACGCGAGTAACCCGGGTTCGATCCCCGCCGGCACCAAAGAAATTGTTAATTGCAATTTTAAGTGCTGATTTACCACGTGCTCGGCGGTGAAGGAAAACATCGTGAGGAAACCTGCATGTCTGAGGAATAAGAAAAAAAAATATTTCGAAGACATGTGAAGTTCGTCAACACGCATTTGGGCAGCGCGGCGGACACTTCCTTGCCCTAAACCCTCTCAGAAATGAGGGGAGGCCTGAGCCCAGCAGTGGGACGTATATAGGCTGTAACTTTACTTTACTTACTTTAAGGATAGAATAAATAAAATATTTAGGTGACGATCTAGTAAAATGCATCACGATGAAATCAATGCAAAGGAAGGTTGGTATGAATCTTACTTGGTATGAAAGCCTCCCAGAAAACATAAACACTCATTTAAACATAAACACTCACGCCTGTCACCCAGAGGGGTAGGCAGAGACTACAGACTTCCATTTGTCACGATCCTGACACACCTCTTTCGCCTCCTTCACATCCATACATCTACGCATACATGCTCGTCGGTTAAGGGTACTCCTAATTTGGCCCGTTTTCAATAAATCCCAAATTTTCGCCTTCGACGTCCCTTTCCGACTCTGCCATTCTCTTCTGCAATATAAATTTTCTTTGTCACTCTTTCCTCATTCATTCTTTCCACATGACCAAACCACCGAAGCATTCCTTTCTTAATTCTGGTCACAACATCATCGTGCAAACCACACTGTTCTCTTATTACACAATTTCTTACCCTGTCGTTCAGATTCAGCCCTAACATACTCCTTAACGACCGCATTTCTACTGCGTTGATTCTACTCTCGTGCTTCTTCTGCCACACCCAACTTTCACTACCTAGAAATTTAATAATACATCTGGTGTCCAGTTGGGGACACGTTACTTGTGTAATATTATTTTAATAAATGATTTAAGTTCATGTAAGTTTTTCGTCTATAGTAAAAATTTTATGAACTTTTAGATGAAAATAATATAATGTAATTATATAAAATTGTATGAAATTCATGTGTAATTTGGTGTCAGCTGTCGGAGGCTAAGATAAAAGCCTATAAAAGTCCACTGTTAAACATAGGTCTCTCTCATAGATTACCGCAAAGGGAGGATTTGGCCATATTTGACACGCTTGACGAGTGGGTAGCCGACCGCAGTTTTTATTATTGTAAGTTGTTATCAGAAAGTTGCCGCTGTCCATCACCTGATTCCATTTCCCGCTGTCGTCTCTTACGACACCACAGGGACGACATGAGGTAACGGATATTCTATCACAGCCACTACACGGAATTACATACACGACTAATAGTCAATAAGCTACCGTAATTAAGTACGAATTTACGACCTTACCTATAATCGTTGACTATCGCGTACTTTAAGTGTTATTTATCTCTATACTTGTCTTTTTCTATTTTCACTAAGTAAAAAAGGAAAAAGTATTTAAAAATGTTGCTTCACTTGGCTTGTTGTGAGTAAGATCGTTAATGATTAAAATAACTAGTTTTGCTGAAGTCGATCGTGTAATGCTAAACTAGTTACTTCAAGTAAAAATAAAATTATAGTGACCATTTGGTGGCGCCGTAAGACAATCTTTCCCTACATTTAATCCGGTGGGTGTTATAATAGTTGATTTTAGAAAATTCTAGAAAAATATAATCTAATGTTTTTCGATAAATTTTTGTATAACCGCATTGTTTACGCCAAACCTAAAATACCCAGATCGGTGACGGTTGTGTTGAAGATACGAGACCTAGAAATCGTCCGTTACTGCGGTCGTTATTTAACGACGACAGGATCGGACGATTTTAATTAATCCTCCCTACAACAAGAAAACTCATTTCTAGCAGTATACATTTACGCGCCGAAAGAAATTGAAGAAGAGAGTGCTACAATGTTACAAAAGTCAATTCTGCAATGATTAATAAATAATGAATCACAAACTGCTCCCAAATATCACTGGTTACTCAACAATCGTTGGTTTACTATGTCAATAGATCGATTTAATAAAATAATCTCGCAATCAGAGATTATTTAGGCGGAACATTCCGCAAACATCCAATTGAATTACTAGTGAGCATTGAAATAAATTTCAGCTGAACATGTTGGATGAGTGGAATATGTCAAAGACTTGCTGTAGATTAATGAACTATTTGCGAATAAAACTAAGTTTCCTTTACTTGGTAACCAAAGATAGAAAACTATTTATAGAGGTAAACTTTTTATTATAAATTACTTATTACGATGCTCAATCAAATCTAAGAAATACCTTTTGACGTTTCAGATTAATTATTCAGAAATATCTTTGTACAAGCGTACTCAAATTATTTAAAATAACCTTTTACGTATATACAAAGAAATATGCAATTATCTATATTTCATTACAACTTGTATAATTCTTAATCACTAATTTAAATTTAAATTTTTCGCACAAAGTAATATATAAAAAGTTAACCATAATCAAATCTTATGCTTGACGTTGTTTGAATGATGTGTCGTTATGCCGTTGTGTTTGGATGATTCAAATACGTGCAAATTTGAATAATCGATAATAATATTCAAACAATTGAACTTTTATTTTTTTTATTTATTAAATAATAACTATTTATTTAATAATAATAAACTCCAGAAATAAAATATTAAATGTTTATTTAATGTTTTATTTTTGGAGTTTCATAAATTATATGAATTATAAATTAAAAAATTCATTTTATTATTTCTGTGAATTTCAATGTGGCGAATTTGCGAGTAAGTTTAAAAGATGCCGGCTTTTACAATGGTACTAAAAATTCATTTAGAACATTTGAAAAGGAATTGGTTTCCGATAAAAAATTGACACGTTCAAAATAATTATTTTGAGACATGTATGTAAATTGAGACAACGTTCTAATGATCGATGAAACATGGCTAAACACCAACAATACGGTACCGCACACATTGTCATGAACAGATGACATGTGCCCTTGGAAAAAGTAGACGCCAAATTATGTGCCATTTGGGATCCGCCGAAGGAGTGTTTGTAATCTATTTTACAGTAATTTTGTTATACCTTTATCTCCAGAAACTAGCAGTAAGCAATAAATAAGATGTAAACAACAAATTTTGTTTTGAGTGATCTTTTTTAATATATTCTGGTATTAATCTAGATATGACTAAAAATGGCTTTATCGGCAATTTTTTTACTATTCAGGCTGCACTACTCTGGAACTCCTTACCTGAAGACATTGGGAAAGCACCAAATAAGATAGCTTTCAATAGATTGATCCGAGAAGATCTTTCGAAAATAATGTTGTCAGACTAATGTCCATACTGCTACCTTTATCCAGACATATTATGTATATATTGTATTTATGTATGTATTTATGTTTATATATTTATGTGTATGTATATGTATGAAGGTTTTAAGGACAATTGTTATGTGTGGATTATTATGTAATTATTTGTATTAAATATGCATTACTGTAATTTACAAGCTTTATTTTAATGTGAGTTACATCTATATAAATTTATTATATTTAGTTATTTAAGTAACCTGCCACTAATTTCTCACCACGCCATGGGTTGACGGGCAATGAATGCTAACTGGAATTAAGTCCGCCCTTTGTAACCTTTAAGGTTAGAACAATAAAGCCTTTAAATAAATGAATAAATGATTACCAACTCTAAAGAATTGACATCTATTTCTCTTAATAATCGAATATTATATTTACCGATTTTAAAGTTGGAACGCCAAAAAATGTTACAGGTATCAAATTGTATATTTGTGTATATTTATTTCCTACAAATGTTAAGTACAATTATGTATATCCTTCTATGTATATGTATGTATTACACTTGTGTGATAAATAATGCGTACACTTTATTTAAGTAAAGTGACTTCGGGAAACGGCTCTCGGCAAAATGGCGTCCAAGCAGTCCGTTGGATAGAATCCAGACAAAAATGCTTTTCGAAGAATTTTTAGAATTTAGTAGTAATTATTTTGTTTATATATATATATATATATATATATATATATATATATATATATATATATATATATATATATACATATATATATATTTCATATCACTATCAAGAAGAATAGAACGCAACGCAATGAAGATAGTCGACGTCAGCGCCATGCAACATGCTCATATCTTAAAAAACGAGTAAACAACACGAGGCGCGAGTAACATGTCACTCTAACAAAATATATAATTAAAAATCTCAATTCATACCCCCTAAAAGTATGGTAATTCTGAGTGCCATTTTGTATTATTGTGTTTTACAGGAAAAAAACCTGCCTGCATCGAGCAATAGAAAAACTACAAGTAATTCTGCTGGCCTTTACCTCCATAGATACGTGGTTCTATCAATCAATGAGTAAGTAAATTTAATTTATTATAAAAATAAAATTAGTCCATACGCAAGTAAAATAATGGTTAGCTATTTACACGCCATATTGGCATTAATTAATATGAATTGAGCATTGATAAATTAAATACTTTTAATTATGTTTAACGATAAACAAAGAGGAATCAGAATGTTTGAGTTTGTGTATGATCATAACAAATTCCCGATATTTTCAGTAATAAATAATATGAATTAGGTAGTGTAAAAAGCACATATATCTATATCAATTATGTCACAAACCCTTTTGTTCCTGCAGGAGCTTACAAAAAATCTACAATATTATTTTTACTACTCATGTATTGGCTTGAAAAGTATGTGCTAATTTTCTGACTCTTTATTGTGTTTTATGTTTGTTCTTGTCTTTATTGTGTAATGTTAATTATGTGGTAAATCCACGATGCAGCTATATAATGGTTGTAGCACGAATGGGGGGGTTGGCTCAACCGGGATAGAACCATGTCCTCGGAGAAAACTATAGTGAAATAAAAGCTCTATACTACTGTGTTTCGTATGGTGAGTATAGAGAACCGGAGGCCCTTTTTACTGGAAACAGGGCATTCCAACTCAGTCCTCATGGGTGACAACGCAGCTGCATTCGGTTCCTTAATCGAGGATAAATGTAGATGTTTGTGAGCCACAGCATCCATTTACCTTTAGAAAAACTGTGTGCTCGTTTGTCACTCTTATTCTATAAATAAATGTTAAATATATTTTTAATTAAAAAGTGAGTCAATGCGCAATTTTTAATTTAATAATAATAAAAAATAAAATAATATTGCTCAAACGTAATTTGATTTTCTCGGAAAAAATCTCATAATATTTTGAACACTTTAAACAAAATCATGAAACTTTTTAAAGGACGATTTATATTTATTCTAACGTGTGTTTGCGGTATAATAATATCTAATATCTCAAAGCAGCCCGTGAGTATTGTAGGAGGCAACAGAGGCAAATAAGTTAGGAGATGGGCAGCAGCGTCTTCCTAATAAAGAGTTAAAAAAAACTGCGGCTGCGAATCCGCTTTCCAAGAGCGTCATCCACGGCATATACACCCCCTCTGTGGCAATCTATGGGGAGGCCTATGTTCAGCAGTGGACTTTAATAGGCTGAAAAGGTAACGGTACTGAAGCTTCTTACAGCAACAATTAATTTATTTTCATTATTCATCATCATCCTGCAAACGAGCACTGTTATATATAGGCCTTACCCGTTTTACAAATGATTTTCCATAATCCTCACATTTGAAAGACATATTTGACGATCGCACTAAAATGTTATATTGCTCTTAATAAGTTTGTATGTTTTACAACTGATAAAACGAGATAATAACAGTTTATAAGAAGCCATGAGGAAATTGTAGCATTTACGGATGTTACAATATTTATATAATGGGCACAGCAATCATTAAGTAAACAAAACGAAAAAAAAATTTTTTTTGGAAGTCAGAATATGTCTAAAAAGGTATGTATGGAAATTCACAATGCTGTTTTATACTCTAAATTTACGTAAGATAGTGAAAGTTGGATGTGACACCACACCGAGTGGCTCGATTCTCGTTTAACTGATGATGCGGGGAGATCTGTTAATGATGTTGCCTTGGCAATGACTCGTTCGCCTTATTAACTAGTTAGTTAGTTTATAGTAGTTTTAGTAACTAGGTAGTTAGTTATTTAACTAGTTCGCCTTGTTTCGGGAACACGTGCAGTCTAGACTTTCGCCAAGGCTGTCCAAGGGAACTTTTGTCAGCTATCTCTCCCTTCTCCGCACAAGGAAGACGTCTCAGTGAACAATGCTGCAAAGGAGAAGGCCACACTGCTGATCTCTCTCTTTGTGTCCAACTGGATTCTCGATGAAGGGGGAATACACCGCTGACCATCTTACGGTGTGAGTGCTTCTTGCCGGTTGTACAGTTTACACAGCTCTAGGTTTGTAAAACACTCCTCTCACTGAATATCCATAAGTCGAGTGGGCCTGACAGGATCTCCACAATTTTGTTGAAAACGTATATTTCTTAGTTGGTACTAGTTTTAACGCGTCTTTTCTAGTAATCCTACTCTTTAGGCGTAGTCCCGAATTCATGGCAGACAGCTTTGGTCCACCCGATCCCTAAAAAAGGTAACCACTCAGATCCGTCTTACTATTGGCCTATCGCCATCACCTCCTTATTCTCCAAAACAATTATTAAACCGTATGCTTATATGGTACCCTGAGTATCACCGGATGATTAGTGACCGCAAATACGATTTTCGTCGGGGTTGATCAGCTGGTGATCTTCTAGGTTACCCAACTCATAAATGGGCGGAGGCCGTAGAGTCCAAGCGGGAGGCGTTGGCCGTTAGTTTGGACATAGCGAAGACTTACGATTAGGTTTGGCACAAAGCGATTAAAATTATTTAAGCGAAGCTTATTAATGCTGGTGTTCCAAAAGCCTGCATGCTATCACCACCGCTGTTTCTTTTGTATATCAATGATATGTTGTAAACCAGCAACATTCATTGCTATGCAAATGACAGTACTGATGATGCTCTATACAACGAGAGTGCCAATATTTTTGCCGAGTATCGGAAGAAACCTTTATCTGAAGTCGAGACATTTTTGAACAAATTCTCAGATTGAGGGCGAATAAATCTAGTTCATTTTCCCCTGGTCGTCTCACATTCAGCGTTAACATATTGAAAGATGTGGAGTTTCGTGGCCACTTGCAAGAGAAGGCCTAATTGGTCCTAAAAAGCAGAGACAGTATTTTATTACGGCACATTGCCTGAAACTTTACAAGGCGCAGGTTAAAACTCACAACATGTACCTACTTTTTTTATTATTATGAGCACAGGAACTACACTAAACGTATTATAAATACACATTACATGAAGGCACACTCGTGCACATTCACACCACTATATATTTATTTTATTGTACCATCTACCTTTTTTTCCAGAAGTCTGCCACCTCACGAGCTCCTCGCCGCCCCCGAACGCTGCGTGTGCCATCCTTACAAGCCCTGCTCAGAACCCTGCGCCTGCCATTCTCATAAGCTCTGCGCCGGACGCTGCATCTGCCATCTTCACGAGTCCTACTATAGATGCTGCGTCTGCCATCCTCACGAGCTACACGAACGACGCTGCGTCTGCCGTCCCCACTAGCCCTGCTACAGATGCTGCATCTGCCACCCTCACAGGCTCAGCGCTCAACGCTGTATATGCCGTCCTCAAGAGCCCTACTACAGATGCTGCATCTGCCATCCACACGAGCTCCGCACCTGATGCTGCGTCAGCCGTCCTCAAGAACCCAGCTACAGATGCTGCGTCCGCCGTTCTCACCAGCCTTGCCACAGATGCTGCATCTGCCACCCTCATAGTCTCCGCGCCCAATGCTGTGTCTGCCGTCCTCACGAGCCCTACTACAGATGCTGCGTCTGCCATCCTAACGAGCTCCGCGTCCGACGGTGCGTCTACCGTCCTCACAAGCCCTGCTACAGATGCTGCGTCAGCCATCTTCACGAGATCCATGCCCAGCACATCTTTTGTGACTGAACTCAACAACAATGTTTCACCTACAATGGAATTGTCCAATGAAGTATCAAGTATTCCAAACTCCGCGCCAAACTTCGTTCGATCTTATGTTTCCCAACAACCGTTGGACGTTCTTCCAGGTACATCTTTGGGAACCGACGCTAACAACAATAAACCATCCTCATTTAGAATCACCCGTCCAGCAAAGAAACATTTAGATTATATGTCAGACGATGAGATAGCTTTGTTAAATTCCTTTGGCGATGCAGGAAGCTCAGATGAGTGGGAGCCGGAAAAAAATGGAAAGAAAAGGAAGCAAATAACTGTTAACGTCGAAGAAGAGTTTATTCGTAATAATGCGACGGAAAAGGTTCCTAAAAATAGGAGGAAATAGGCTGCTCAAAAACGGTTATCTGGTCAGAGTTACATTAAAACAAACGGAGAAGTTGTTCAAGAAAAAAAGTCCAACCAAACCCTTGTGCGGGTAAGAAATGTGGAAACAACTGCGGAGATATAACGAAAGAAAGAAGGATAAGCATTTTCAAACATTTTTGGAGCTTGTCAGAACAGAGAAGAAAGGATTGGATCATCAGCCTAACCTAGAAAACTAATATCAAAAGAAAGAGAAATAAGGATTCAGAAAAACGTACCATAACATACAAATGCAATATTACGGATGGTGAAGCTCATCGACAAATATGTCTGCAATTTTTGTGCAAAACGATCGATGTGTCACACAAATATATTTATAATACGCTTTCAACTGCCGATGGGTGTGGTAGTGCCAAACAATTTGAAAGGGGTAATAGTGTACCTCCCAACAAAACCAGCAACGATGAAATTACAGCGGTTGAAAACTATATAAAATGTTTACCGGCAGTTCCTTCTCATTATTGTAGGAAGGATAGTACTCGAACATACCTTCCAGCAGAATATAAAAACTTATCCAATTTATATAGAAAGTACAAGAACCATCGTAGCTTTCAAGGACTGACGTATGTTTCGGAGAGCATTTTCCGAAATTTTTTCAATGAAAACTTTAATATAGCATTCCATATCCCGAAAAAAGACAAATGCCTGAAATGTTGTCAGTACGAAAATAAAACTAACCCTACACCAGAACAACGACGAGCTCACGAAGAACACCTTATTTAGAAAGACCACACATACAATCGCTACAAGATGCACAAAACTATTCATTTAAAAGACTCAGCATCCATTTACATAAGTTTTGACTTACAAAAAGTCTTGAACACACCGTATGGTGATAGCATGTTATTATTTTATACACGCAAGCTGGCCGTTTACAATGCAGTTATTTACGAAAATGGTACGCGCAATGTTTATAGATATTATTGGGACGAAAGTCAGGGTAACCGCGGTGCCATATTGCTACAATGGCTACAATATTAAGCAAATACATAACGAAGCTTGATGAACGCGGAAATATAAGATGACTTCCTCTTTACTGTGACTGCTGTACCGGTCAAAATCGGAATAAGATAGTTCTTGCAATGCTGAACGAGACTCTGCATCGATGCAGAATTCTTGAATCTATTCAAATAAATTTCTTACTTACCGGCCATACCTACATGACAATCGATTCGGTACATGCGACTATTGGTTAAACCAGGTTAAATATACCACTATCTGGGCTCCTTCCCAGTGGTATACGGTATTCCAAACAGGAAGATAAAATCCAAAGCCCTTTCATGTTGAGAAGTTAACTCACAAAGATTTTAAGAGATGGGACCTACTCGCAGACAAGTATTTCGTGGGAAATCTTGTGGATAAAATAAGTAAAATACGAGTCGCGACTTTGAAAGAGAATCGTATATCAGCAGCGATTGAAGATGAAATCGCCTCCAAAACAAAGTTTCTTGACTTACCGGACTGCTATCTTACACCTCTACCAATTACTGAAAATAAACACAAAGATTTATTAAAGCTTTGCTCAGACCAAGTTATACCCCAACAATTTCAGGTAGAGTAATTAGCTTTAACTTTCAACAAAAAGGTGAAAGATACTTTACCTGATGCTAACATCGAAGATAATGTTGACCAGTAGTTAACTTATCTGTAACACTATTTTGTGATGACTGTGTCTTAATTTTCTTCAGGTTATTGCGTACCAAAGACCTACTTTAATTTATATTCAGGAGATTACTTATAAAGACTGATTAAGTAAATAATTGATTTTAATATTGATCTCGATTAGCTGATAAGTTAGTAATTGTAAACAATAGACCTGTTGTTATGAGGTCGAATTGCTTGGAAACCACTAAGTATTAATAGTTCCTTTAACCTTCCTACTCTTAATAATTATGTTTATCAAAGAAACTTTCATAATAGTAATGATTTCTTATATTTACGCGAACACTACACATTGAAATAATACTAGTTTTTACGGAATTTATCGCGTATATTTAACTTTTTAAGTACCCGACGTTTCGAATGCTTTACAGCACTCATGGTCAAGGGCGGGACTGAGATGTTCAACGTCCATATGTCATAGTTAACCGCGGTTACTATAGATTAAAATTTAACTTTTGTTCCGATCTATGCAGTATGAACTTATGGTATCTTGAAGTCTTGCAGTTGTATGCTTGGGTTGGGATTTAATTTTATTTATTATGGGATTCCAAGCAGATGGTAGCACCCAGCCATCTTCTCTATTGAAATTAGGATGTTTTTTTTTTGATTTCAATAGCCTCGCGAATCATCCTTGGAAGGAATCGGTGTTCTCTAGCGAGGATTTGCGGTCTATCAAATCTGATGTAGTGACGGGGGCGATCCTGTACGTGTTCACAGACTGCAGACTTCCCGGAGCCTCGAATCTTCACTTCAGCTATATGTTCTTTAACGCGGGTTTTTATTGATCTTTTAGTTTGTCCTATGTAAGAGAGACCACATTCACAATCAAGCTTGTACACTCCTGCATCTTACAGAGGGACATTACACTTGACTGATGGTAAAAACTGACCCCTCTTCTTCAGCGGCTTGAAGTGTGTTTTGATGGAAGCGCGCTTCAGGATGTAGCCAATATTGTCAGTGACTCCTCTAACATATGGCAGTACAGCAGGTACATGCTCGACTGTGGCCGGCTTCACTCGTTCACTGTGACGTAAGCGCGGGACTCGAAGCTTGTTGTCATGCAAAACTTGCTTGACATGGTGGAGCTCTGCAGCCAGGTGTTTACTGTCACAGATCCCCCGTGTTCTCTGAAACAAAGATTTACCCACGGTAGCTAACTGTGAAGGATGGTGGTGAGAATCACCGTTTAAATATTTATCTGTATGGGTCTTTTTTCTATACACAGTATGGCTCAAGGTGTTATCAGGATTCCGAATTACTAACACATCTAGAAAAGCTAAGGAATTGTTTGCCTCTAACTCCATTGTGAACTGAATTTTAGAATTTATAGAGTTAAGATGGTCTAAAAATGCAGTTACTTTATCTCAAGGTAGAATTGTGAAAGTGTCGTCTACGTACCGCTTGTAGAATCTTGGATTTACGGTAGAACTAAGCAGGGCTTTCTCCTCAAAGTCTTCCATGAATATGTCGGCGACAATGGGAGATACAGGTGAGCCCATCGTCACACCATCTACTTGCTTGTAGAACTCCTCCTTCCACAATAGGTAGCCAGATGTAAGGCAGTGTCTGAGTAATACTGCATATTCTACTGGCATGTTGTTTTCTTCCAGCCTTCTAGTTACAGTTGAGATGCAGTCTTCAACAGGTAAGCATGTAAACAATGACTGCACATCAAAACTGACCATAGTTTCATTGTCTGCCAGATGTAGGTCTTTAATCTCGCTGACAAAATGGTAGGAATCCTTTATGTGTGCTCTTGTATGTCCCCTGAGCGGTGAGATTATTTTCGCTAAGTGTTGAGCCAATCTGTAAGTTGTTGAATCGATTTGGCTCACTATGGGACGTAATGGAGCATTGGGCTTGTGTATTTTTGGTAACCTATACAATTTTGGTGATTTGGCGCACGTAGCTATTATCCATTTTACGTCCAGATTTAATTTTTCGGAGTGTTTCTTTATGAGGTCACTAGTTGTTTTTAGTGTGCTATTTGTTGGGTCGTTTTTAACCTTTTTATAAGTACTTACATCCGACAAAAGTTCTTGTATTTTTGAAAATATAATCTGACGTATCCATGACTACCGTGGCGTTTCCCTTATCCGCGCGGAGAATCGTAAGTTCTGGTTTATTGCGTAGGTTCTTTAACGCTATAAATTCGTCTTTGGGAAGATTCGGTTTAGGCACTGAACATCGACGTAACATAGACGAAATGTCTTGACGTATCGCCTCCAAATCTTCTTTCCGCATATTTTTTTTAAATAAACAGTCCTTGACACTACAGATAATTTCTTCGTACGGTAATTTGCGGGGTGTAATAGCAAAGTTGAGGCCTTTGGATAAAACCCTAATTGTTGCATCATCCAGTGTTTGTTTTGACAGATTATAGAGCACGATTAATCTATGATCTGTGTTTGTCAATGGTTGCTTTTGGTTCTGGCATTGATTCACATGTTTGACATTTGACTTGTTCGTTAATTTTTGATATTTTTCTATATGTTTATTTTTGCATTCGTTATATTTACTAATTTCGCGTTTATTTAATGTTTCCATGCAAAAATTCCAGCTCCACCATGTCAAGCAAGTTTTGCATGAAAACAAGCTTTGAGTCCCGCGCCTACGTCACAGTGAACGAGTGAAGCCGGCCACAGTCGAGCATGTGCCTGCTGTACTGCCATATGTCAGAGGAGTCACTGACAAGATTGGCTACATCTTGAAGCGCGCTTCCATCAAAACATACTTCAAGCCACTGAAGAAGATGGGTCAGTATTACCATCAGTCAAGTGTAATGTCCCTCTGCAAGATGCAGGAGTGTACAAGCTTGATTGTGAATGTGGTCTCTCTTACATAGGACAAACTAAAAGATCAATAAAAACCCGCGTTAAAGAATATATAGCTGATGTGAAGAATCGACGCTCCGGGAAGTCTGCAGTCTGTGAACACGTAAAGGATCGCCCCCGTCACTACATCAGATTTGATAGACCGCAAATCCTCGCTAGAGAACGCCGATTTCTTCCAAGGATGATTCGTGAGGCTATTGAAATCGAAAAACATCCTAATTTCAATAGAGAAGATGGCTGGGTGCTACCATCTGCTTGGGATCCTATAATAAATAAAATTAAATCCCAACCCAAGCATACAACTGCAAGACTTCAAGATACCATAAGTTCATACTGCATAGATCGGAACAAAAGTTAAATTTTAATCAATGGTAACCGCGGTCAACTATGACATATGGACCTTGAACATCTCAGTCCCACCCGTGACCATGAGTGCTGTAAAGCGTTCGAAACGTCGGGTATTTAA